TGCCCATGAGGCCGTTCTCTTACCAGCTGAAGAGACCATAGTTTCCATTTCAAGCTGATCTGACACTAAACACTGGCTGATGTGGCCTAAATCGGTGTGTGTGTGTGTGTGAGCGGTGTACACACAGGAATCAATTACACAGTGAGTGGAGAGGATAGTGTGTGACACTGAGTGATGGCTGGCTGGGGGATTGCGAGGGCCATGGAGAGTTTAATCACCCATAACCTCAATTACAGACCTCCACTCAGACTCATAAAGCAGCAAAACAAGATCAACTCCTGCTCCAAATTCCAGTAAAGCCTTCGCAGGAATACACACACACACACACACACACACAAACACAAGAGCTGAGCCAACGGGCAGTAAGAAAAACACACATTCCAGGCCCACACGCACTCTCTAAAGATAATAACACCTTGATTTAGAAAATTCTGGCTGTTCAGAAAAAAGGGGATACTTGAACACACGCACGGTTTCATCAGTGGGGTTATGGCACTTCAGGTGAAAAGAACATGAAGGATTTAAGCTTGAAAGGCTGCTAGTTAATTACATGGAACATGAGTTATCCTTAAACAGGAGCAGTAAGCTATCTGCTGTGGTGCATGTTAAACAGTTGAGAAAAAAAGGCAGAGAAAGGCTCAGTCACACACACACAGGCTTGTTTTAATAATAATATTTAATAAAGTCAGGACCTGAGGCCAAACATATGTACTATATATCACTGCCGTCGGAAGAAAACCTTGTATTTCCATTTTTGTTGTTTTTGACATAGTTTGAAAATGCCTGTTGTTCTTTACATTGTGCATAAATTTGAAATGGCCCAAAATGACTTGGAAAGAAGTCTGGTTCCATTGACTTACATTAAACGTAAAGTAGGTTTTTTCCTTCTCCTGTAAAGTTATCATTTTGGAGATGTGAGGTTTTCTTCCGACAACAGCGATATTTAAGTACCTATCTGTAATAATTTCATAATGCAAATATGTGCCATACTTATTATACAGATGTAAGACAGGTACATATATAAGTACCTATATATAATGTCCCATATGTATTATATATACTGTCGCTGATGGAAGAAAACAACACATCTCCATGTTTCTTGTTTTTTAATCCTACTTTGTCATGTAGTTATTTTGGCCATAAGAGATTTTGTTATGACAGTAATGATATGTATGTTTCAAATTATATTTATTGTTTCGAAATATATTTCCCATATATATATATATATATATATATATATATATATATGTGTGTGTGTGTGTGTTTTCTGTTACACTTTAAATTTGTGCTTCACTTCATATTTTGGGAAAAAAAAGCTACATTTTCTGCTTCTCACAATACAAGTAATCCCAAATACACATTCAGTGATCTGAAAACTGAACAGTGCAAAATGGCCATTTTCACTGGAAATTGAACAAAGAAACATTGATCCCTGACTTTTGTATGGTACTTTATGTATATGTGCCATGTGTGTTATGTATATAAGTACCTATATGCAACAATAACGTCCCATATATATTAAATACATGCAAGGACCTGTATGTCATGGAACTTTTTAAAAACTACCCCTACATTTAATCTCTGGTTTTATTCTTTGAGTTTTGTAAAATAAAACTTAAAAAGCACTTTACAAAGTCAAGGGCATTCTGTTAGTTCTTTTAGGATAGGTTGGCCATGTTTTCTCTGTTTTTCCTACAAAGCCAGGACATTTTTGTCCTGAAAGTGTACGAAAACAAACACACACACACACATGCACACACACTTTTAATGATCACAAAAGGGCCGAGTGTACGCTGCAGTCTCACAGACAGGCCTTAGGAGGGATTAAGACTCTAGCCTTTATCAGTGCGTTCCCACAAACCCCTGTAGAATATCTGTGCCTCCCTCCCACCTCTTCCCTCCTGTCCTCCTTCACCCCCTTCCTCTTTTTCTCCTCCTCTTCTGCCTCAGAGGGTCTGAGGTTAAGAAGGGAGAAGAAGAGACAAATGAACAACCAGATAGACATAAAGACACAGACAGGATGGTCATAGTTACTCATCACACAGGGATAAGCATACAATATATGCCCTCACACTGTGTGACCGGAGCATGGTGAGAGAGGTCAGGGATCATGACCCCCAGCAGCCCCTGAGCTGCTGCTTCGGAACAGTTAAGAGGCCAAAGTGCTGAGTCATGCAGCCAGCAACAGTGGCAATGACAGGGGGCCAAACACTGACAGCCCAAAGAGGGAAGACTCCTCGCCAACCACCTAATCCAGCCTGCTGATTATCCACACCACTGAACTCCCACAGGAGTTAGGCACATACTGTTCAGACACACATGCTCTCTCGCTTTTACCCTCTGTTCAGCACACTGCAAATTACACAAATACATAGCATGGCTGCCATAAGGAAACATCATATCTCAAACAATGACTTTACAAGGCAAAGAAATAACATTCTTACATTAACATCTGTTAACGTAACTTAAAAATAAACTTGAAAGGTTTTCTTTCAAATTATCTGTTGGTCTATTTGTCATGAAATGTTCACACAGCATAAAGGGCAGCTGGCATTTTCAAATAAAACTAAAAACAGTTATGAGGTTTTCTTCTGACAGCGATGACAGGCATGTTCCCTATTACTCCGTCCCCTACGATCTGTTTTTACAGACTGAGACACGGTCAATTTTTTTTCATTAAAAAATGGTGATACTTTATTTGATGGATTACCTGCCTGAACAAAAAATAATAATAATTTGTTGCTCTACACAGGCCTGTCAGTGTTCCCGGAGCTTTACAAATCATTTTTAATTGACAGTCCCACAAAGCGTAAAGACTGATTCACAGAATAGGAAACAAATGTGGTATCATGAACGTGGGAACTCAACCCCTGTGGGATTTTTACTACTTTTTATTAAAAGCATACATTCTCCACAGTATTTGACAGAAGTCCAATGAATATATCCATTTATTTACTTATTTTTTATTTACCAATCGATGATAGTTACATTGGATTTTATGCTTTAAAAACACTATAAAGGTGAAGAAAAACAGCTCTAAACACTTTGAAAGTTTGTGAAGGCCAAAAACAAGTTTTTCTTGCTGTTGCTTCAAAAGAACTAATACTAAAGCTGACAGTAGAAATTGTTAGAGTAATGTTAGATGCTGAGGAGGACTCACTGGCTTTTACACACAGTCTTTAAGCAAACTTTAATGAAACAATACAAAGAATGGCATGTGTATGAGTGCATTAATATTTGTCTTTACCCGCAATGTTTTTAATTAGAAATGTGATTTTATCAAGCTAACTTTCAGCTAATTGTTAGCTAAGCTTGGAAAGGCTAACGAGTTAGCCAACTGATCTTTATATTTTTCTGTAATGTTATTTATCAACAGACATCATAGACAACATTAAAATAAATGCAGAACTCAGAAGAAGTTTACCTTACCTTAGAGTCAGCATAATTCTGTTTATCACGGCTAAAAACTGCTTCAGGAAAAAAATTAAAACAGATCTTTTTAACCATTTTTATATCCTGATAATTCAGACTAATTTGCTGCTGCTGCCGTTCTCACTGCAGGTTTGTTTTTAAGAGCAGGTTTGTTTTTTCACCTTTACTTGATGGTCAATTGTAGAGAATCTTAAATGCTTCATATTCAGTAATGCTTTTGTGTTGCCACTAATTGAGTAATGATACCTTTGGCCTACAGTTTAATTTGAATCTTAATACTGGGTTCATGTTTTTGATATTTTGAACAAAATTTGAAAATAAAAAACATGAAATTGAAAAAAAAAATGCTTTAACTGTATCCATGTTTTTACACAGCTTACTAACAAATGTACTGATGTGGGTTGTTGACTGGTTATGAATGTTTGCAACCTTTGATGATTAATCATGACTATTCTCCATGATGCACTGTCACATTTTTGTATCGCAATATCACAATGGTCCGTTGCATTGCTACACCCGTCGTTGCCACATGATCGGCCATATATTTGACTGGTCTGCAGTTGTTGTTCTTTCCCGGTTAGTGAAAAGTGCTTTACAAACATAATGCAATGTATCACATGGACATGACGATTTCTAACAATAACCACTCCTGCATTGCAAGCTCCTGAGAGTAAACTTCAAAATGCCATTCCAGAATAGAATCAATAACACTCAACTTGCATGCGCTTGATATAAACATTTAATAAATCATCTCGGGACACACCCCTGTCACTGCAAGTGGGATGACTGACAGCTTAATCAGAGTGGTCCCTATCCTCACCCGACCTTTGATCTCTGGCTACGGCCTACAGAGAGCAGAGCCTGACCCACCACCAGTAAAACACAACTCCTTTCTCAAGCAAAACTTGAATATTTCAATCACACATACTAAGAGTGCTAACAATGAATGGAAGCCAATAGCAATTAGCGTGACATCATTTTCATAATTCTGTTGGATATTGGCTTTCATTCTTTATTCACACTTTTAGCAATACTGACTGACCCATTCGTTTAATAAACAACACACCCACCAGGCGTAACGAACTTACAGCCTTGAAAGTGAGAGAAAAAGCTAGCATTTCTCTGCCAGAGCATAGAATGGAAGTGAATCCGCACCCACGTGTCCCTGTTACTCCACAGCTCAATGTATGTTCAACCAATCAGTTGCACAATGATGCAAGATAAATGGGAATTACCCATGAGGCAAAGGTTAATGTCTTTCAAGCTAATCTGCACTCATTCCATCCACAAAAAGAGGCAGATCAAAAGCCTGCCGCTCCTCTATTGACTTAGTTGTCCAGAGCAACAGTGCGCCTTGAAGGAGACATTTGATCTGTAAAGCTCTGCCTGCTCTATACAGCGTCGGAGAAATAAGACTCGGAATTCACTCACGTTGTCACAGCCAAGAATTTAAATCTCTCTCTTGCTTTTTCTCTCTCTCTGTCATATAATGAGCCCTGTCAATGTGCAACAAGACGCACAATTGTGACATCTGTTAAGCAGAGGAGCCCAGACGGATTAAAGCGTCAATTACTACAAAGTCTTGACAAAAGACAGTACTCCTATTGTAACACAGAGGAAGGAGGAAGAACTTGGAGAGTGCATTTGCTCTGTATCCACCGTGGTGCATTCGTGGAGACGAGGTACGTTTAGGCCTGTCATGATCGCTACATTTGAGCTGACGATTAACTGCCACATAAATAATTGCGATTCACAATGTACTTGTCTCCTTTGATCAATATATGCAACCACTAAGGTACAAGCTTAAAGTAGCCACATTGGCTGATTAGCTATTTTGCTTCCTAGCTGTCATTTTTCACAAATCCGTGATCACATCATTTCCACTAACAAGTTAACTGTACTATCAGCACTATTGATGCTAGATTGGCATAAGAAATCATGTGACCCCACAAGCTAAAGGGAACTCCCTACTTCCACGGTTCTGTTATGCAAAGTGAAAACAGACACAGGCACTCAACCAGGGGTCGGATTGGTAACCGAACTGTGCTGTACTATACTGCCTGGTGGAAAAATGCATTAGTAAGCTAACTAGTTTTTTTTTCGCTAGCTTTGTGTCCCCAGCACCCATGTGTCCCCACAGCGGGGGGAACTTGTTAGCGATAAAGTTAGCGTTAACAAAGCCCATCCATTTAGGGGAAAGACATGATTGGTCAATTTTACTGTCATTTGAAATTGGTCTCTCACTGAATTACTATTGCTTGACCCTCTGTAAATTTATAGCTGGACCACCAATCACCACCATTCTTTCCAGTAACAGCAGAGATGGCAATTCTGATAGGGAGACAAAGGGGCTTCTTTATTTAACCCTTCACATTCCAATACAAATTGGATTTATTTGCTTAGATTTGTATTTGTTTAGATATTGATTGTCAAAATATGATCTGATAAAATTAGAACTGCTCAATTTTAAAGTATTATTTTTAGAATATCTTAAGCCCTCTCTGAGGGTGTAGAGGGCCATAACGGTTCCCCTCTGGTAAAACCCAACGGATGACAGACAGAGCTTGAGCTCAAATAAACAAACATTACTCACCGCTGCCCTCTAAAGGTGTCATAGCACCAAGTCAGAAGTTTTCACAAGACCCAATGTATATAAAATAAACTTCCTGCTTTCTTTTATTGACCTGTATTTGCCTCAACCCAACTAATGAAACACATTCAGATCGTTGAGATACAAACACGTTTGTGAAAGTTAACAACTGTGGTAAGTAACTGCAGGTGGTTTATATACGTACGGTCAGCAGATTATGTAAAAATTGTGACAGGGCTCGGTTCACCTGCAGAAGCATCTCTGCTGAAACGGCTAGAGATGCACCAATCAAACCTCCTGACACTGATTTTGACATTTAACTAGGGCTAAAAGATAAATAGTTTTTCTATTGAATTCACAATTTTAAAAAGCACAATTTATTACACACTTCTATAACTTCAGAATAACGCAGTCAGTTTGCATTGAAGTCCCAGTAGTTACTGAGTAATAAGGCTTAGTATGCAATAAGCCTGGGAATTTAAGGGATTAATTCAATAACATGGATCTTGTAACCTGCCTTTAGATGAGTCAGACCAACCAAATGTGATAAGCTTCAAGCCAAAAAAAGTGGCTTTGCTGGTGTTATTAACCAAAAAACAGGCCCTGAGTTCGCAATATAGAAGATCAATGCAATTTAAATCATAATGACAATATTGGCAAGAAAAAACGCAATTAGATTTTTTTTTTCCAATTGTTCAGCCCTAATTTCAACTGAGCACTGAGCAGTGACCCGATACCAGCGCTCTGTTTGGGCACTTAAGTTTCAGAGTAGCCAGGCCTAGTAACATAAATACACAGTACAGGCTAATGTACTGCACGGCATTAGCTTTTCAGCACTGAGCAATTTTTTAAACGATAATATACTAGCACTGTTACAGTTTTATCTGTGCCTTCTGTGATTGTGCATCTATGGGCATAAATACATTTCTATACATTAATATATTTCTAAGTCTCTTTGTGTGTGTGCGTGTGAAAAACATGTGAGCGTGTGTGTGTATTCAAGTAGGTGGGAGTGTTTCCTTTGACTTCTCGGGCTCTTCCTTTCTCTCGCAGCGCAAACAGGAAGCGTGAAGCCCCTCTCTTCCTGAAGAGAGGCGCAGTGGGACACACACTCCAGGAGTGAGGAATCAAAAACAGCAAGTGCGGAAATTTACAAATAAACATGCACTCATTGTAGAGGAATCTCACACTTTCACTCACACATATTCAAACACATCTGAAGTAAGTGTGGCTGATATATCAAAAATAACTTCACAATGCCTGAAGACCTTCACAATACACTATATTAGGGATGCACTGATGGGGGAATTACGGGCCGATATCTGATTTTTTTCACACACATAACTGCTGATGTCGATGCCAATACATACCAAAAATGCAACATTTATTTTTAAAGGGTTAAAAATGCAGGAAAATAAATAACATTTATGATGTTTTGTACAGTTTTCCAGCATTACCTAAGCACTCTGCTCAAGTCCAGTAAATATGTCAAAAAACATCAGATTAAAATATCGTTCAAATCTTAACTTATAGCGAGTATCCACTGATCCTGATATGATTCTGATGTCATTGTGCATGTTTATCACAATGTTTATATTCCTGAGGTTGCACACAAGTTGGAATGGACAAAAATCACAAGCAAACCAGCAGTGCCACATTTAAAAAAAGGCTATGAAAACTTGCATGCGATATACCATCACCTCATCACGCCCCCTAGCCATCACCAATTCACAACAGTATTGTAGGGGACATGTGGTGGCAGGCGAGCACAACAAACTAGTAAAAATGAAGAAATAAAAATAACGGTATAATGGACTGATATTCAATCAGCTTGTTATTTCGCAGTTTACACACTTACTTTACACTGGTTGTTTTTGCTTACAAGCTCTCTATAATTGAACAGTTTCAGTCTCTGTAGATCCATTTGTAGCAATTTTTGGATGTAATGATTTTTTTTAAAAGAGACAAAAATTTTCTTTCTCTAATACAGGTGGTATTAATCATAATACATCACAATGTGTTTACATGCACCTAATAATCCGATAACTTTTAAGTCAGACAGTAATCGGATTTCTGCTTTACAACCAGCCAATAAACTCACAGAAGAATATGTGACGTAAAAGTAGCGTAAAACTCAAACTTAATACTGTGGGTTTTTTTAAAAACATTGCGCCACTTTACCTGAAAATATGAACATACATCATCTAGAAGATAAAGAGACATTTAACGGCTTCATTTTGTCAAGGATGTAGTCAGTTTCAGCGTCGCTCAAGAAGTGTTTTCTTCCATCTCGTGGCAATGCTGCTTGCTTGTTTCGGGTACTGTTGTCTGTTTCACACATGTGCAGACTGACAAATCCGAAAGAAATCAGAGTAAGAGTTTACATACTGAGCTACAATCCAACTCTCTTAATCGGCTTTCTTAATCGAATTTATAGACCTTACTCTGATCTAAGAAATTATACTGTTTACACGGCCATTTGAACAATCAGATAACTGCAGAAATCGATTAAGTTCGGATTACTTGCATGTAAACACACTGACTGATATTTCTTGCATGTGTGAAGCCCTCTCCTAACAATGAATATCATGAAAAAAGGAAAAGTCCTGAAACTGGGAACGAAATCTATCCATGTGTCAAAGTTTTAGAAAATTTGTTTGGGATGGGATACACTCTTTTTTTTCAGGACACTTTTGGACAAGTGGGGGAAAAAAATTACAACCCTGGCAATTATACACTCAGAAAAGTACACTGTGACAAAATTTATCACAGTAATGATAACATATTGTCATATTACCCGCCCCTACGGTGAAGTAAAAGATTAAAATGATAAAAGGGATTATAAAATACAGCCAATCTCTCTCTCTCGCTCTCTCTCACTCAAAGATTGAAGGAGTGTGTGGAATTCACACTCTAATGCGGCTGTTTAACTCCTCACACTCAACTCGAGATTATTATTTAGTAGCAGCTGATAGAAACAATGAACAGACAGTAGCAGAAAAACTGAAAAACACACATTAGTGAGGTGTAGACACTTTCCTGCCTCTATTACACAAACCCCTGCTGCCTTACGGGAGGTGCAACGATATAACAGCACTCCAGATACAGAGACTCCAGCCAGAGGCTTCAAATCTCCTGTGTGTGATTATGTGCTGTTTCCACCAAACGAGCCGCTGAGTGAGGAAGAGACACGGAATTCAATTCAATGTTCCTTTGACTCTGTGTACTTTCTCTTCTGAAGAACCAAACAAAACAGGGTAGGGAGGGTCACTATGTTGAAAGTAGCCACGTTCCAACAGACTGTGTACTTAAAACCAGTGATTCCACACGATGTTCTCACCAAAACAGCCTGTCAGTAAATATCCCCCCAGTAAGGTGACAGAGGTTTGTGACAGAGCATTCTATACTTAGATACCAGTTTATTTACCATGTGCCTAGACTGGCCATTGTATCAGAAACGACCACTCTATAGGTGCACTTTTTGTAAACACTATTACACACTGTAGCCCGTCTGTTGCTGCACGATTTGTCAGCCCCCCTCTATCCCGTCCATCATTGGAAAAGGAACATCATAGACCAGATATAAACATCCCAGCAACACTGCTGTGCCTGAGAAACAATGCAACACCCACTCACATGCCACCATAATGCTGGTATCACTACTGTACTAGAAATGGTCCACCCAAATATTTTCTCATCAGTGGTAGGGATGAGCATTTTTAGTCAAATTTAATATTCAAATTCATACAGCATTTTTCAGAAAACATTCGAACAATACCCTGACAAGCCAAAAAAACAATAAAACAGTACAGGACTTTTAAAGGGCCCATATCCTAAATTTTATTCCCCACCTGATGCCCACTTATAACATCTTTGTGGGTTTATGGATCAAAAACAGCCGTAATTCATTTTTACATGACCATTTAGAATCAAACAGGCTGTTTTTGTTACTGTGACTGATATACGTGAAATGACCACTGTTCTGACTGGATGTTGTACCTCATTCAAAAAGCTGTATGTGCTGAAATACTCTTCATAATTTCAGCATGAATGGGGGGGGGGACTAAACTGCTGTAGGCTACATAGGTGAATATATGTAAATGTGCTGGTTTTCGTGACGTCACAGAAACAAAATTCGTTTTTTTTGCAGTGTAATTTCCATATATGGACTGTAATTGAAGAGTGACCTGTAGGTTTTGAGACTTTAGCAGTGTTTACATATTACATTAAACTGTTTTATTTAATTTTATTTTTCTTTTATTTAAAAAAAAAGTGTTCCATGATTTGGGCCCTTTAAGGCTACAGTAGGGTTGGGCAATATGACAATATGTATTATTATCATGATAAATTATGTCACAGAACATCAGAATAGGCTTTTCTGAACATATCGTGGATATTGTCCATACTTATCAGTACTTATTTCATTATAAAGACAGCAAAATTAATCTAATTCAACTGGATTCAGTGCAATATAGTATTTTTTTCTTTTTTTCTCTGTTACAACTGATCAGATGTCTGAAAAAAATAAATATTGTCACATATTGTGCATCATGAAAATTTCATGATATTATATTTTTTCCATATCGCCCACCACTAGGCTACAGGCTACCACGCAGCAGACGTCATCAGAGACAGTGATTCCACTTAGCATCATACTGTTACTGTACTACATATCTGAAACCGTGGGTACAATTAATTTCTTCAATGTTTTACATACTGCGCTACACTAAATCCAATTGATTAATGACTAATTACGCTCCGTTTGTAAGAAAAACATGTACTTGGTCAGTGCTCTTTAAGTCCTGATGAGATTCAGGATATGCTCAAGCACACTATTTATCATAACACAATTCATGTTGATGCTAAACACTAAAATGCTAAAATATCATCATATTGCCCATCTCTAAATGAGTTAAATTCACTACATGATAATGAACGTTTTATACCTCTAAATCTATACTAGTAAATTGTAGAGTGAGCTTGAATTTGTTGTTTGTTAGCACTTCTTATGTACTATAGCTGTGCTTTGTACTAACTGCTACTAGACTGTAAAGACCCTCTGGTACCTCAATGTATTCAGCATAGAGAGCATTCATTTACTTCTATGACATACAATTAGCTAAGAGTATGTAATCTGGTTTTACGTTCCTTTGTAAAGAAGTCATGGCTTACACAAGCCTCATTCTAGCACACTGCCATGTCATCCCTCCAGTAAATCCAGAAAAAAGAAAGTGTACTAACACCCTGTAGTTGCCAGAGAAACACAGAGCTCAGGAAACACATTTTAGAAACAAGTAAAATATGTTTTCGGCTCAAGGTTTCGGTGAATACATGCAAACACACAATGAACTGACAATGAGTTTTATGCATTCCCTCAATAATCACACTACTTCCTCAGACATGGTCAATTCAAGGACTTCCTCAGTCACGGTCATATCTATTCCGCTACGTTTCACTCAATCTTTCAGCATTTCATCATCGTGTCAAGATTGGGGCGGTTAAAAATTTCAATCCCACCTGAGCTGAGACCTGAAGGCAGCAGACAATCTGTAATCTCCAAGGCAGGAAGGAAAAAAGACAGCAGGCGAAGGTTTTACTGACCCTGGCAAATGCAGAAAGTGGTGTAATACAGTTCCCCACCCAGACGCAGGATGTCACTTTCGACCTGAACGACCTTCAGCTGCTGCAGATGGATGGCTGAAGCCGGCCTGCCTCGGTCTGTCTGAGATTGCTCTCTGATTGTGTGGTGTGTATCTTTGACATGAGGAGTGCATTCGTGTTTATGTGTGTTGCAGTGACTGATCACCGGTCATGTCTATCAGAGCAGACTGTACAGAATTCCACACGTGGGGTGGTTATTGATCTACAGGGGAGGCAGAATGGCCTACCAGGGGCTGGATTCCATCCTGACGGCCACTATCAGGTAGTGATGAATGAAACATTTTTAGCTGATAAAACTTTTTGTGCGATTGCAAAAACTGTAGTTCTGTCAAAAGTCAGAGAACAGATTTCATTTATTTCGTTTCCAGTCCAAACAGCCATTGAGTACAAGTTATGCTTTTCAGCCTCAACAATGAAATAATATCAAATAATATCATATTTTTGATTATTTACTGTGTCCACTCTTTGCCTTTATTACAGCTTCCATTCTTTTCCATCAAATTGCCTTGTTTGGGATAGGCTCCAGCACCCCCCACAGCACAGTAGGACAACTAGGACAGCTTAGATGATGAGTGAGTGAGTGAGTGAGTGAGTGGTCTCTTTTGCACATTGCTGTATTATAATTTTGTTTTTCATGATGCTTTTGAATTAAAATGAATGAAAAACTACAATGTAATGAATAAAAACAGTTTTTTATTGAAAAGTAAGTCCTTTCAACAGGACTCCAAGTTACAGAGGACTACAAGAAGGAACTACTTTTAACTGAGATTTCTAATCCTCATTTCTATTGAATAAAATTTGTTTTTTTAAAAAGCCAAAACCTGAAAAAAAAATTTAAGGGTCAAAATTTTTAGCATGTTTTCTGCTTTGGTCAAATATACATCAATTCAAGCAGTCCATAATAGGATGACCACTGACCAGATAAACAAATGAAAGTGCAACACCCCCTAACGTTCCTCTTCTAAACAATATCTGGTCAGTAGTAGTCCTATGGTAAAATCTGTCCATTGATAAAAAGGATAGAGGCTGGCTGATAAATCGACCAGCAATACAGTCAGTCAGACTAATTATGCTACCTGAAAAAATGACCAATGTGTATATTTACAGTAGAAATGGTGGAAACTTTTGGTCAAAAATTTCTGCCTTTTTACTCTTTGGGCAAAAAACAAGGCTCATTTCAGAGCCTTCAGTTTTCAGCCACAAATTTTAGGTGGCATAACTTTCAGTGTATGATTCTTATCAGATAGGCACCTCTGTTTTTATAATTGAGCTGGAGTGTGTGTGTGTGTGTGTGTGTGTGAGAGAGAGATAGAGAGAGAGAGACAGAGAGAGAGAGATATAGGAGTGTAAGGTGGTGGTGTCGGGTGAAGCATCGCTATAAAAAGCGAGGACCGTCCGACTTTGTTGTGTAATCATGCAGCGGTCCCACATGTGTCCAGAGAAGATCACAATACACCAGGACAGATGGCCAGGGAGGTGTTAAATAAACAGCATTATCGTCCTGGGTTACAGGCAGCTGCTGAGGCCGCCGTTTCTGACACGAGTGGCCCTATAAAAGCAGGAGCGAGAGGAACACGGTTAATCTGACCAGGCTTGCAGGAGAATATTCATCAGCGCTGTGGGCCACCAGAGCACAGGCACAGTGCACAATGAGGACAAAACACCAGCAGCCTGGTTTCTGCCTACTGCAATCAGCGGGCAGGTAAACACTCAAAACACCGGCCCACACAGCTGGACTGTCCACTATCGAGATTGAGGAAATGCAGGCATACATAAACACACCACATGGACTAGAGAAGAGCTGCACAGCAAAATGGAAAGCGTTATGTACGGCCTTTACAATGCTGTCGTTTAGCCTTTAACCAGACATCTTTACTTGAAGATCGTCAGCGGATAAATAGAAGGACAAAATGTTCTGAGAGAGTGGATGAGTTTCGTAAGCCTTTAGTATGGAGCTCCGCTACAGTCACGTACACACCGTTAACTCTTTCCTGGGAGAGCCTTTAGGCACTGCACTCACTGCAGAGGCAGAAGAGGAAGGGGGAGAGGAAAAGAGTCAAAGAGAGAGACTGGGGCTGTGTCTCAGATCCAGTCCTTCTGTACTGCGTGTTAAAACTGGTAAATGCAACAGGACGAAGTGAACCGCTGATACTCAGACGATACCAGAACTACTGAAATTCAATTTTATGGTACAGACTAAATTACTTACAATTACAAATGAACTGCAATACTACCTAGTATGTCCATTCCATATCAGAAAATTCCATATCATTCAATATCAAATTTAAATGCCAAAGTACTTTATCTAATCAGCACCTGTGAGCCAATAAGCAAGGAAGAACATTTTCTCGGCTAGCTTCTAGGAATGTTAATGAATTAAACGTTAACCGACAAATACATAAATGTTTGACAAATATATTTGGTTAAAAAGTGAATTTAATTTCCAATAAACAATCAATGTTATAGGCAGGTTTTCATCCAACTTGAGGACTGTTTCTGAATCATACACAAGAGTGCAACTTGTAGCCCTACTTAGTGATGCATAACTTTGGGTTTTCTGGAGCCAGCTCAGACTCTTGACTCTTGCCATTATAAAGGGATATATCAGAGAAGGTCATATGAAAAATATCACTAAAACGGCACATCTTGACATCTTACAAACATTGCTAGGTTACATCCTTCTCTCTTCTATCCTGTTGCTAAAACCTTTATTCATGCATTTATTACATCCAGGATTGACTACTGCAATGCTGTTCTTCATGGGCTTCTTGCCTGTAGTCTGAAGAAGTTGTATTATATCCAGAACTCAGCTGCTGGGGTTCTTATACACACCAGAACTTGGGAACACATAACTCCCACTCTCAAATGCTTATATAAAACACTAGGTTCTATGGTTTGCACCTCCGTACCTTTCTGCTGTTATTTATATGTATTCATGCTCTCACACCCACCTGAATTCTGTGCCACCCTACAAGTTACACACATTTCTATAGACGTCTGGGCTTTTATTTGGCAGAGGCAAAACTCTTATCACTGTACATCTCTGTGCTTGTGCCTCTCTCCCTTCATTTAAAAGCTGAAACCTCATCCAGATTGCTTTTACTCATACTTAGTCCCTGACCTATTATTTTGTGATGACATAGATGTAAATTGCTTTTTAGCTCTACCTAATAATTTATTTCTGTGTCTTTAATGTTCTTTTCTTTTATCATTTTTTAATCTATTTCCTGGATTTTAATCTTCTTTGTACAGTGTCCTTGGGTATCTTGAAATACACTTCCTCTTATCCATCCTTAATATAGGTTACAGCACAATCCCAACTAGGATATTTGGCCAAATAACAGTGCTAAGCTAGAATACAATTAACTCTATTTTTACACATCACACTGTTTCTGTCGGGCATTAACCTATAGCCTACTGGCTAGCCTAGGTAGTTAGTTCCATGACAAAAAGCTTGAAAGCTGCTAACTACCAACTTTATACTGATTATTGTTTAAATTATAAACGTTAACTTCAAGCGAGCCCAGAGTGAGGCAACCACTGCTACACTGCTCAAATTTAGTGTTCAATTCGAGACACTATGCTCCAGGCACTAGGTCAGGGATCGGCAACATGTGCCCTGTGGCTCTTTTACTGCCCTGTTGTGGCTCCACAGCAGAATTAGATATTTAGGTAAAAATAAAACAAAAAAGCTTTTTTAAAATAAATGGTCTTAAGAGCTGGAGTTTTATGTATAACTGCTTATGCAGACTGCTGGTCACGTAGCAATGCAGACAACAATCTTGCCTAGCTAGAAGCTAACGAAAAGGCAAAGAGAAAGAATTAAGAGGAACATTGATCATTTTGGAGATGCATGGAATTGGAGACGAATTAATTGCATTTATAATCACTCCAGCTGGTTTCCTGATACATTTAATCTGCAACAAAAAACTGTCAAACACCGAAACGTTGCAAAGCTGAAGTCAGCTTCTCGCTTGCCTGTTTCTTGTTTGAATTTTCCCGTTCCACCTTAAATAGTGCAACAGTTAGCTACATGGCTAGCTACATTCTGGCATGCCAGGCACCATTTAAGGTGGAATGAGAAAATTCAAACAAGAAGTTGGTGAATGAGAAGCTGACTTCAGCTTTGTAAAAAGTCAAACATTGAGAGACATTTTACTATTCACATTAACTGCTCTACTTTTGCTGAAAAGTTTCCTGCTGGAGATGCAAGAAAAGCAGCTATAGCAGAGCAAAGTAAGTCTGGGTTTTTGTTTATATTGTATTTTAGCCTATACTAGGTCCCTGGCACATACTGAGACATATTTACGGCCAAGATGGTGAAACATTACTTCAATAAAAGGGACATGAAATGCGGCTCTCAAGGTGGTTTGATTTTTGTTGAAACTTGACAAAATGGCTCTCGTTAACATTTGGGTTGCCGACCCCTGCACTATATAGTAAAACACATAATGTGAGAAAAGAGTGCATAGCATACAATGTAAGAAGTGTAGAGTACAGTGCCTGAATTGAGAAGCAGGGTGGATTTCAACTGGTCTGGCCACTGCAGTTGATATCTGAGGCTGTCTCTGAAGAGTCGACATCCAGGGAACTGTGCCATATGGCACCATATGGGTTACGAACGTTAAAATCATGCTGCATCTCAACAGCCAATTACAGCAGCAGAAGACTGCATGGAAAACACTTATTCAAATACACAAGAAAGTCTGTGAAGTTCTAATAATAAAAAAAAAAATAAATGAAAACAGACTCTATTTCAAGCAGTTGCAAAGTAGCAGAATCAGATGGCCCCTCTGAGGGCCATTTTGGAGCCAGAGAAGGTTTGACTTTCTTACGTCCTCGTGTGCTTTTGGCTCTCAGTCTGTCCCGCCGTCTCTTCCTCACTCGCCTTCTAGTCTCATATGCACATCATTACTGGGCCACGTCAGTCAATTAGCTCAGTGTCATTGGCTGCAATGGACGTGAGGACAGGATGCCCCTGTGGCGTCGATTTCAGCCCATCAAACGCGGCCTGCCCAATTTCTTCTCTTATACACAGCGGATATCAGCCGAATAAGTCTGTGCGGTTTGTGTTTGTGTATATATTAAAGGTCAGCGTTCTGCAAGAGCTCCTCTGGAAGTGCCCTGAGTGTTAGCGGATGGATGGATGGATGGATGGATGGATGGCAGGAAATGAAAGGAGAAGGACACTTTATAAAAAAAAAAGTGACTAAACACTTTCTGCACTAGAACAAGGCTTTCAAAGACCCACACGGCTGTGAAGGTCCAGCAGAGACACTGTCCTCTGAAGCGGCATCTGAGTTTGGACCTTTTCTTCCTCTCTCCGGCCCCAGTAGTGTTCCTCTGAACAGCAGCACGCGCAAACAAGACATTTCCATTAGCCGCTAACCCCCCTCCACCAACCCAAATCCTTGAAGGAGAACCTGCTAACACTTCATACTCAGCATGTTCACGTCCCGCATGCCTTGCTCCACATTAGCACACTCAGTTTGCCCTGTTGCTGGGCTAGAAGAACGTGTGACATTGCAAGGTCAGTAACTCTGGCTTCAAAACTTCTCCACCAAACCCTCCTCCTCCTGACTCCCACTGAGCCACCCGTGCCTCCAGAGGCTCGGGACAGGGTGGTGAGCCGTTGGTGGGTCCAGCTCGGGCAGCAGGTGCTCCAGCGCTGACCTTCCACTTCATGAGATCGGCTCCAGTGACATTCGGATCAAACGCTCCCTTGGCCCGCCTCTCCGCTCCCTCTCCCCGCTACCGAGCCAGCTATAATGCCAAGCATGTCCAATCAGTTTAGCGTCAAAATACCGACAGCACCCCTCCCGCACTCTCCCTCTTTCTCTCCTTTTCCTCCTCAAAG